TGTTCCCTCTCATCACGCGTGTTGGCTGGAGCAGCGCTTGAATTTCCTTCCAGAACCTCTTGGCCTTCACAGCAGGCTCACTGTTGGGCGCGAGAGGCCTCGCTTTCAGCTTCTCTTGGCGTTGGACAAGCCTCACCAAGCTGGTCGTTTCTGCTTTTGATTCAAAGTGAGAGGTGCAGCTCTTCCTTCCCTGGGCCTCCTGGAGGCCATTGTGGGCTCTGAATGGGCCTGACTTCCGTCTTGTTGTGTCTCAGGAAATAGGGGGCCCAGGAGAGAGAGAGAGATGGGTGGCCGGTCGGTGGAGCAGTGAGAGCACAGCATTTATCAGTTAGGTTCTTGGTCTCATACGGGGCAGTTTGTGGGCCCCAAACAATGACAGGAGTAAGGTTAAGGGTCACTGATCACAGAGCACCATGACCAGGTGGTGACGATGACAAGGTTTGTAATATTTCAGCAGCACTGAGCACAGGCTGTTGGGGAAGTGGTGCCCGTGGGCTGGCGAGATGCAGGGCTGCACAAGCCTTCAGTTGGTGGACTCGCAGTCTCTGCGAAGCGCAGTGAAGCGAGGTTGCCTTTGTAAAGCAGGCGAGAGACCCTCTAACCTGACCACCCACTTCACTCGGTTTAAAGAAATGGCTTTTCAATTTTTTAAGCATGAGGAGTGGGGTTTCTTTTTTGGGGAAAAAATATGCACAGTCCTCGGTGTCACACGGGAGGGAGCCCGGCTGGGTCTGCAGGGGGCGGGGCGGGGCGGGGGACGGACGGATGGACGGACAGGACACACGGGCTATGCAGTGAGAGGTCTGCCCGGTCCCTTGGCCTGACGTCGGTGGTAGGGACGTGGCCAGTGTGTCTGGTCACGGAGGGCGTGGCTCTGAGGCGGCCTGGCCGGGCCTTGTGAGCGCGGCTTCCTGGGAGTGCGCTGCCCCCCACCCCCGGTAGCCAGGTGCCTGTGGCCTGTTTTAACATGTTTTTTAGGTTCTTGTTAATACTTTTCTTTTGAAAGAGTTTTTTCATCGACTTTCTGTTCCCATTTGAAGTTCCACTGTGTGAAGTCGCTCTTGGTGGCCTGGCTCCTCAGCCAGGTCCCGGCCGGCCTGGCGCTCGAGCCTGGTGCAGACACGGCTCGTCCCAGCCTGCGCCC